TTTTACATAAGGCTCCGGCCGCCCGGTTTACACCCTAAACACATCTTCGTACCCTATTAGCTATTGTTTTCTATACAATTCAATTGAACTAATTTAGGCATCGGAGGGCCTTTGGCCAACACCCCCCGGGTGTGGCCCTCTTATTTGTTCTATTTTACAGGGAGAAAGACGAGGCGAAGAAGGAAGAGGAATCTTTGCAACCGAATATTCTCGTGGGGAAATTTGTACACAAAAATTGGTAGTCAACACCAACATCAACTTCTCTCTGTTTAGTTATACTTCTGAGGTTACAAACCTGACCTTTTACTACGGGTGCAATACAAGTGTCCCATGGCTTACTTCTAGTTCCCAAGTTTGCAGTACGAACAATGGTAACATCACTTGGCCCCACCCCCTCTCGCCACCGTGCTCCCTACCGGCCCCGCGGCCGGATCCAGCAACCTCCGTGGCACTGCCGCAGAACATGGTGGACCCTCCCATCAAGGTGGGCTCGTTACCACCACCGACTTAGGCCCGGTCTTGGAACAACTTCAAGCGTTCCCTCCATTGCCTCCACGCTCGACGTACGCTCCCGCGCACACATCCAATGAAACCCTAGCTCGTGTGCAATTGGGCTCCACACACTTCTCTCCTCCCGATCTACGAAGTCAAGCAGACCTTAGTCTGAGAGTTGATCAGCTAGCTCAGAGAATGGACGACCAAAGCGATCTGGTGAGGCAACTCCTCCACCAAATCAGCTTGGCTCAAAACCTCGGCCTTGGACAACTGGGCGAAGAGAGAGATGGACAAACGCACCGGCAGACAGCTCAACGGGTACCCAGCAGGTCGAGCAGGAGTGGGCAGACAAGGCGAGGGACAACAACTTGATCGGCCTACCAACATGTCGCAAGCATCTGCGAGCCCCACTCGGAGCAGATTAAGTTTGCGGAACAACACGCGCGAGAGGCTAGGCCCACAACTTGACGTCCACACCCGCTTGAGCCCGCGGGGAAATGTACTTCAAAAGCTAGGCCCCCAGGGAGGTCAACCAGACAACCATCGCAACGAGGATCGTGAAGAAAGACGCTCAGCTGTCCACTCGTAGAGGAGCATTCACGAGAGGCTAGGTCCCCAGGTGGTCAACCGGATAATCCTCACAATGAGGACCACGAGGAAAGATGCTTCGCTGCTCACTCTCGAAGAAACGGTTCTCGTCGACAAGCTACGGAGGATCTCTCGCAAGCGCAGTCCACCAACACGCCGCCTAGGCAGCGCAGACGAGAAGGTCGACCCTCGTAGACCCAGGAGGAGGTCAATCAGCGTCGCCAACGAGATCGACCAGTGATGTGTGTGGAGGATGTAGAAAAGCTTGTGAATGACCGACTTCGAGACTTGAAGACCGGCGGGAATTTCGAAGATGTACTACGTAAGGAGATCGACCAGGCAAACTCCACACCTTTCACAGCCGAAATCGAGCAGGCAGCTCCCTCGAAGCGATTCTCAACTCCTTCATTTACGCACTTCAAAGGGGATTTCGATCCCGAGAGCCACCTAAAACACTTTAAAAGTGTCATGATCCTCCACAAGGCCGATGACGCGTTAATGTGCAAGGTATTCGTAGTGACCTTGCTAGGAGCAACCCAAGATTGGTTCCACACCCTGCCATCTGGGTCGATCAACAGCTTCAAGGAGTTGGCTTACGTATTCACCAAAGAGTACACCTCTTATCGAACAATCAAGAAAAATCCTGACCACCTGTACAACCTGTATAAGAAGTCTGACGAATCCCTTCGAGATTACATCAAGAGATTCAAAGCAGAAAAGGCCAACATTGTAGGATGCGATGACCGAATCGCGTCATCTGCTTTCAAGAAAGGCCTTCCAGCTGAACACGACTTGTATCACGAGCTGACTATCACTCCCAGCCAGACTCTGGCAGAGGTCTACGCGACCGCGGAATGCTACGCGCTCTGGGATGACGATCGAATCGCCGCAAAAAAAGTCTACTAAGTTGGAAGATCAACCGACTAAGCGGGCAGATCAAAGAAGCGATGGATTTAGCAACAAGAACAAGGATAAGCGCAGGTCACACCCACAAGGAGACGCTGTAAGAAGACCGCCACCCTTGAAAGGAGATCCAGACAAGAGGGATCCTAGCAAATACTGTGCCTTCCATAGGACACACGGGCACACTACCAACAACTGCCTCGCTTGGAAAGCACACCTTGAAGAACTTGTGAGAGAAGGTCACTGCACGGAGTTCGTCGCGAAGCAGACCATCCAGCGAATTGAAGATCGAGACACCGTCAAGGAACCACCCCAGAAGGTCATAAGGATTAACACAATCCTAGCCGACGCCAAGGAGTCAGGGCTGACCAGTAAGGATAAGAAGATGAATATCAAACAGGCCACTATGATCTTCCAAGTCTCGACTGGCCTTCTACCAGCAGAAGACGATCCAAAAGAAAGATCTGATCGGCCTCGACATGCCACATAATGATGCCCTTGTCATCAGCATTCAAATCGCACAGGCCATGGTCGATGGAATCCATGCAGACGAGGGCAGCGCAGCCAATATCCTACAGCTGGCTGTCATCCAGCAAATGGGCTTGGAGGCAAAAATCAACAAAGCAGCCAGATCGCTGACCGGCTTTAATGGTGCAACAACGGTTACTGTGGGCACGATAGACCTCGACGTCTACTCCTCACCTGTAGTCTGCTTGTAAACATTCATGGTCATTGATGAGGTCTCACCCTGTGCCCTTGTCATCAGCATTCAAATCGCACAGGCCATGGTCGATGGAATCCATGCAGACGAGGGCAGCGCAGCCAATATCCTACAGCTGGCTGTCATCCAGCAAATGGGCTTGGAGGCAAAAATCAACAAAGCAGCCAGATCGCTGACCGGCTTTAATGGTGCAACAACGGTTACTGTGGGCACGATAGACCTCGACGTCTACTCCTCACCTGTAGTCTGCTTGTAAACATTCATGGTCATTGATGAGGTCTCACCCTGCAACGGCATTCTGGGCAGGCCATGGATTGGCAAGATCAACGCCATCACCTCTGCCACACATCAGAAAATCCGGTACCCAATCCCTGGGGGCGGTGTCGGCCAAATCAACAACAATCAGACAATGGCGAGGAAATGCTCTGCCCAAGGGCTAAAGAAAATCAAACAAGCGCAATTCCTCCCTGTGAGCCAGGCAGATCTGAAGGAAGTTGAACAACCGAATCTTGCTATCTTATAACAATCAAAGCGTCAGGACCAAGCCGAGGAAATCCGTTCAGAGGTCTTTCCTGAAGAAGGATGGAAACCTGAGGAAGACGTCGAGTTAATACCCTTGGATCCTGATCAGCCAGACAAAAAAGCGCGGATCGGCTCGCGCCTAAGCCCAGACGAGAAGATGGAGCTTACCACCTTTCTCCAGAATAACAAAGATATGTTCTGTTTGTGCCTAATAAAACACGGTCATGAACTGATTGAAGGGACTTCCCTTTGGCCCTGGCGCCTAGCGTTTCGTCAAGCATTTCGCCCTCCTAAGAGCAAAAGAAAAGTTGCAAAGGGAGAATCCCCTCAGCCTCGCGACCGCAGCTTTGAAGACCGAGGGAGGAATCGCCACGTGGCCTTAGGGCCCCACGCTCCATTTAATGAAGTAATGCCTCTGACTTTGCAGCAAAACCCACTAGTCACAAGAAGCATTCAATGCACGAAGGGAGTGGCTGAAGTCAGGATTTGGTGATAGGAATCATGGTGGTTAGGCGCAGACATTCTCATAAGTAATCTTACGACTTAGGGTCAAATCATTAACCACCAGTCCAGGGTATTAAATGCGTTACCACGGCCAAGGGGGCAGAACCCACGATCAAGGCGGTGGCCGAGATTTGCCAAGATCTATGGGGGTCACACCACCATGCTTCCCAACCCCAGACCACCATACTTCACGATCCCAAATGCCGATTTGACAACCCACTTGCCCCGGTCAGGCTCCACCGCGCAGGTCTTATCAGCCTCGAATGTCCCCCCAGGACTCTTATAAATACTAAGCTCAGGAATACGTTCAAGGGGTTCAAACATCAAAACCAAAAGCCTCTCACGGAGCAAATTATATTTTCCTGTAATGCACTTTCAATACCTTTATTTGCTTTCTTAGGAGTAGTGGTAGATTGTAAGGAAAATCCATCCATCAATATATCATACGACCTTTGATTTTCAAGGCGCCGAGTAATGCACTTTCAATACCTTTATTTGCTTTCCTAGGAGTAGTGATAGATTGTAAGGAAAATCCATTCATCAATATATCATATGACCCTTGATTTTCGAGGCGCCGGAGCACCATCTCTGTTATCACCTCACTCACCCCATATATCATACGACCGTCGTTCCCAATCGTTTGATTAGGAGTTGAACGTAAAACAGGCGCAACATTTAACCATCTTTTACCCGAACCCCATCATCATCTCGACGCACGGTAGACTGTGCTGGCACGCCCGCGCACAACGGCACCGCATCCAAAAGAAGGACATCACGTGTTGACGCGTATTCCCTCGGCTCGAAGCACCAGGCCACGAGATTTGCGACAGACAAACAGCCTCAACCCAAAAAACCAAGTTTCTTTAGTGGAAAATATTCGTCTAAAGTAGATTCTTCTTCATGTAAGAACTTAACATCAAGTAAGAAGGAAAAATCTTCAAACTATGACTCTACCATAATGTTGCCTTAGGCTTTATGAGATGCAATTAATTGTAAATCTTGCACCATGTAATTTAGTCAAGGTATTATTCATAGCTGTGTTGGCGTGCAATTTTCCCACAAAAATATGTGCGGCGAGTACACTGATCTCGACAAAGCATGCCCAAAAGACAACTTTCCATTGTCGAGAATCGACCAACTCGTGGATTCAACTTCTGGCAATCAGCTGCTTAGCTTCATGGACGCTTACTCAGGCTATAACCAAATCTTGATGCACACGGATGATAAGGCAAAAACTTCTTTCATCATCGAGAAAGGGACCTACTGCTACAAGGTCATGCCCTTTGGGCTGAAGAACGCCGGAGCAACCTACCAAAGGCTGGTGAATA